TTTGCCATACTGATTAAGAACATTGCTGTTTCCATCTCGAAATTTCAGTACTTCGGCGGTTAAGAGGGGGGGGGGGTTCATTCCAGGTTCCCAATCCTCCAACATGGAAACGAGGCTGGACCTAACAAACTTACAAAAGCAAGGCAAAAGATTACCAAAGTACAGAAAATGAGTTAAATAATTGCGGATTGGCCAATAGAAATGTGAGCATAACCATTGATAAGGTGTTACCAGGAGCCCATCAGTTTACTTAGTCACGTTACTGGCAAATATTTGTCTCGTGACCCTGGGATCACCACCTTATCGTGGCGGGGCAGTTTGCTCGTCTCATTGACCCCTAGAGCTATGTCGGCCGGAGTCTTGAACTCCTGGTAGGGTCACCCATGCTGAACACGTCGAAGGGTAGAGACCAGACAAAGACTGATCCCCTGGTCCTCCGGGTTGGGTGTTGGGCGCAGGGCTAACGACCCTGTCCCATAAAAAAGCGTTGTTACAGAAACCGAAAACGGCCTTATGCACCTACTGGCGCTTAGAGAACTGATGATAAACCTAAGAAAAGCCAGGCTTTATCCGTACATGAAAAAACTACAATTGAAGTAATTATTGTTTGAATAAAAGTCTTAACAATCTAATATCTGACAATAACTTTAGTAAAACCAATGATAATGTGGTTAATAAAAAGATTTATAAAATCTGTATAATAGGAATGGGACAAATAGAAAGAGGTTTACCAGGGATTACTGCGTGGCGTGGAGACGGAAAACTCGTTTAACCACATTCCCAATGACTAACCTGGCTTATAACTTACAACGAGGAAGCTATATATATAAGTTCTCGGAGGATACGAAAACTAGGTTTAACGTCAGAGGTAGGAATGAAGGTAATAGTGATAGAGCTCGAAAAACCAAGGGTGCGTCAAGATGAAGAGAATGCTTCACAAGGTATGAGGTCTTTCATCGAACAGCAAACTTAACTGCACTCACAACCGGGGATGTTGCCAGCGAAGAAATCATGACCTACTGGGCGCAAACGAAATTGGCCAGA